GTTGCGAGGTGGCTCATCACTGTAGCCTTACCTTGTCTTGTCTCCTTAATGAGGCACCTCCTTCGAGGGAGAGCGCCGGCCGGCTATTGGGAGCCGGCCGTACCCCAGGCCGACTGCGGGAAGCCTGGCCGCCTTTGGGGTCTCCCTGACTGAGGGGGCCTACCACCCACGGGTCGTACTGACCGCTCGCCATGGGTGACGTCACGATCAACATGGCAATAGTGTCGCGCCGGACGGGTGATGGCCGCCCCGTACGACGCACTGTGGCCATGCGTGCCCCGGGATTCGGGGGTGGCAGGCTTCATTGTAGCCACGCCCCGTCTTGTCGCCGTTATGTGGGTGCAGACTCTGAGGGCACGATCTTGGCTGCCTGCTGAGGGGCCGGCTCCTGGGAGTCGGCTTTCTCATGGCCGGCTTCTTGGAGTCGGCCTCCTCGTGGTCTTGTTTCTCAAGGATTTCAGGGCTGGGCCGCCTTTGCGCAGCCGGCCTGAGAGGTAGCCAGTTGGGGGAAGGCGGCCCCACGTCTTGGACGCTTGGAGGCTCAATCGGCTTATAATTTTTCTAAAGAACCAGGGGAAGCCGACTAGGCTACCCGTGGTCATTTACTCCGACAAGTAGTTATACACCAGTTTGCTGCTCTCATTTTACTATCGAAAAGTTTGCTACCCAGGCTGCTGGCCGGCATAGGCACCTGATGCTGGCTCTAGGAACCAACTGGTGAGGCACTTGTAGGCGCCGACGCCAACCTTCAGGTCCAGGCTCTTCATAGTGCCCTCATTAGAGCTATCAGATGCATTCTCCAGTAGAGTGATTGAGGTTGCTTGTGCACGATCAACTCTTGTGATCATTTCTAGCGTCAATTGTTCAGCAACAAAACTTGCAGATAACATATGAAACACCAATCATTTAAAACATTATGGCCGTAAATAGTCACACAAGAACGCGGATCTGGTGAGGAACAACTTTGATTTTAGGAGTTTAATTAACTGGATTTTCGGACCTGCTAATCTGGAATTTTTCAATTGATGTTGTCTTAGTGCTCTCATAAGTGTCATCTGAAACGTGTGTGTTAGATTGGACATTTGTTCTTGTCTAATCCCATATGATGTTGTGTATCCTATCATCTGAAACGTGTGTGTTAGATTGGACATTTGTTCTCGTCTCCAAAGATTTGACGCACACTTGAAGACATGTTTGAATCATCGGCATGTTTATCCCTTGATGTAACCGACCTATAGGTAACCTTAGGGACTCCCATCGCAACTACAGAAAAAAGAGAACACAGTAGGGCATCACGCCACTCCTCCATTGTGGTACCCATACTACACCGATCAAGACATTAAGAGCATAGACATGGTATGTTGGAAAATTTCAACAAGGTTTGCCCGTCATCGGTGAGGGAGGGGCGATGATGGCATATACTTGTAGTCCTTACTAGGTGGTCCACGGACATGGTTGTAATCTTTATTATTTCTATTGTTCTTTCTATTGCCATGATTAAAGATGAATAGATTAGAAGTTTCTCGAAAAAAATAAAAAGAAAAGAAAAAATCCAGCATGGTCGAGAAAGTTCGGGAACAACTCAATGGCCTCGGCAACACGACGCACACTTTTCCGTTTCAACTGCACTAGTAAGCGTGCACGTGCAACACACGTTATAACCCGAGGCACATATTGAGCAAAAGAGACAATTATTTGAATAAAACACTTGATAAATGTTTTTTCTGCAGTGCATTTGCACGTGCAACACACGTATAAACACTTGATAATTCCTCATTCATCATAGTTAAGAGACAATTATTTGAATAAAAAATGTATTGGCATGAATCGATAAATGTTCTTGTCATACAGGAAAACGCTTGCTTGCACCTATTTTGCCGCATATAGGATCTTTTTTACATGAAGCGACGAATGTTCCTGTCAGTTACACACAAACAGACACCACTGGAATCGTCTCGCATGCCAAGTATAAAGTTTGGCGAGTTTTCTTTCGTCAGGGGCTCAGCAATCACAGTAGTCTACCGAGTATCAACGTATATGAACTCAGGAAACCAAAAGAATCTTGTAAACACACCTACCTATTTGCCCAGTTTCGAGGGAAGGGGACTCCACGAGACAATATAAACCCATAAAACTCAAGTCATTGATGCCCCGCTCATTCTTTATATGCATCAAGATGCTCTTGAGATGTAGATGTTAGTTTATTTTGCACTGAAATATGTCAAAACACTGAAATGCTGAAAGAAAAATACATGATCTGCAATGAAACTTTTCATCCATATTTCATAGCATTCACAACTGCCTAAATAATATGGAATTGCCATTGGCCGCAAATTACAAAGTCTGCGCTAAATAAGCAAACCTTATACAATTCTAGTGCGCTACCATAATTTTTAGACTGCGGAATTCTACAAAATAAATGAATTTGGAACTGCCTAGTGGTCTACAATCCCAGTAATCAAGCAATCCATGCACACTTTGTATAATAAATGGATTTTGCTTGAATAACAAACTAACTTGTTGTACAGTTCTACAAGCAGACAAGATAACAAACCTATAAGAGAAGATATGGAACCATGGAAGTACAGGGCGATTGAAAACACAAGCCTGGCGTGTTCTTCACAACAGATAATGTTGATTATTTCTTATAAACCGTACTTACTATGTTCAACTGAACTGAAGTATACTAATTAAATTTGGACTAACCATGCTGTCCTAATACATCAACCAGGAAACAATTTCAAAATATACAAATAAGATCATGATGAGTAGTTTATTTGTTAATCACAATGGACACAAATTTCAAATTGGCTTCAAGAAATAACATCATTTGTACATCTATGACTTACGAACATCAGAGCAAATATTTTTATGATACCAGCCTGAACTTCAAACAAAATTGTCCTGACGAACAACTATCCAACTGTACCACCCTGCACATCAAGAAAAAAAACATCACATACTCACTGCATTCCTAGATTTAGAGTGTTTTTGTGGCTCTATTATGTGAAACACCTTCACTGACAGAAAGTAGTGGTGCCAGTTGTTTAAGGAGAATAATAATCCACACACCATAGCCAGGACATATTTTTTTCTTTCACATTTGCATACAAAGGAAAAAGCTCTGTAGAAAGATATTACCTGCACTTGGAAAGGAATCGATTGCAGTAGCGGTTGCATAAGAAATGATGCACTGATTTCTCTAAAACCTTTCCTGCTTATTCACACTTACAAAATTCAAATAAAGACCATCAAAAACAATTCGAACAGTCTGGTCAGTTCTAGAGGATTTTCCATATGTGACACTCTCCTGAATGTTGAATCTCAGCAATGTTGTAGAGGAGTAGACCAGTCTAATTAATTAGATTTACATGTTTGTAAGTCTCGATCCTAGAAACTTGCAAACCTACGGTTCAACAAAGGCTGCAATTTACTTTTTACTGAAAGATATGTTATCTATTGATCTCTCTCTATCTTATGGATGAGATGAACATAATTGTGGAAAGAAGCCTCCACTGAAATTTTAGTCTCCACTGTGCGCCACCAACCAATTTCCGAACTAAGGAGGCGGAGGGGGAGTTGCATTACCAGATTTTGAAGCCTAGGACGGTGTGGTAGTGTGAAGCTGCTGCCCCGGCAGCAACTGCAAAATAAGGTACAGTTATACACACCCAACACATAACTTGGGATCAAAATTGTGAGAGTAGCGTATGATATAACAGCTATACACACACAAATAGTCATGGAGTAGCAGCTTAGGACATGCAGAGATAAGATGTGCAACTGAACATGGAGAAAGAAGGTTCCAGCGGTGGTGGAACTCACCTGCGATGCCGTTCTTGTCGCCTTCGCCATCACGTCGCCTCCTGGTTGTCCACTCGTGGGCTTCATGGGGGACCCTCAGTCGTGGCACCGGGCCTCGATGGAGTGCGGCAGGCTGCTGGCGGCGGAGCGGCTGACGCAGGGCGCCATGGCGCTGCGCAGGGACCCGACGACGCCCGACTTCCTGCTGCTCCCGCCGATCTTCTGGTTCCCGGCGCTCTCCTCAGCCTCGCGAATTGCAGGGGCGCCCGCCTCCTCCTCCTCCTCCAACCACCTCCCGCTCCACCGAAAGAGATCGCCGAGCGGAACACCTTCATTGCCGCGCGCCTCGCAGCCTACTCCCTGCCATGTCCGACCTCCCCGTCTACTGTTGCGACCCCTCGACGCTCACCAGCCCCGCGCCGGGCCAACCTCCGCAGCGTCTATCTCGGGGTGGATTAGGAAGCACGCCGAAGAGGAAGGGAAGGGAGGGCCGGCGGCGCAACGTTGCTACGGATCCGCATTTCTCAATCCAGGGAAAGATCGAAGGGGAATCGTGCCCAAAAATCACGGGGTTGTGGGGCGGGGCCGCCGGGATCAGGGACGTGGAGTGCTAGAAGAATCGCAGATAACGCGTCTGCTCGGCAGAACATTTCATCTCAGACGTTCATCTAGACGGCAGACCGTTCGCCTAATATAGGCAGTAGGATGTGCTTAGATTGATCTGATCTGACGGTACAGGTTATTCTGTGTATAGTTTGTTGTGTGGTTTTGGGAGAAGTCATGTTTGCTTTTTTAATAGTAGTATAGATTATGGGCCGGTGTCCTGCTGCGCTATACCCTTGATCAGTGCGACCCATGCACTCAGATGGGCGACAGGCCTGGGCCGTATCCGCTGGGATAAAACTTGAAATTTTCAGACGATGCGAGACCCATGGCCCCGTTCATTCGCCTTCCCCCACTGCACTACCCAGGTCTCGAGCTCTCCCTCAGAAAAAAAACCTAGGTCTCGAGCGATGGCGCCGCCGCCGCCGCCGGCGGCGGAATGCCCAAGTCGAACCACCGTGCTCGATCTCGACGACGACCTCCTCCGCGAGGTGTTCCTCCGCCTCCCCGGCCTCCCGAGCCTCGTCCGCGCCGCCCTCTCCTGCCGCACCTTCCTCTCCGCGGTCCGTTCCTCCCCTTTCAAGGCCCACCACAGCCGCCCGGACCCGGACTTCGAGGCCGCTGCCCGCGGCGGCGATTTCTCCCTCAGCGGCCTCCCACTCCCAGGCGCCGACGGCAGCCAACACGGCTACAAGGAGGATGAGGGCATCGATGAAGAAGATAGCAACAACCAGGAGGAGCAGTGCGAGGAGGACGACGACGAGGATGAGGAGTACGAGGAGGAGGAGGAGGAGGCCTCCCACGTGTGGGAGATTGAGCGATGTTGCGACGGCTACGTGGTCGTCTTCAACCAGAGGGCCAAGCAGATAGCTGCCTACAACCCTCTCACCCGGGCATTGCATCTCTACCCCTCGCCGCCCCGCCTCTTCTCCGATGCCATTAACTTCGAGTTCCACATTATCTCCTCCCAAGAGGACCCCGGCGCACCACCCCGTGTGCTGTGTTTTGATTTCAACTTGTTTCAGGAGAAGGCGGTCGTCCGCCTCATCTCGTCGGACAACAGCATCAAGTCCAAGTGCCGGAAGTTCCCTGGCACCGGGAGCGAGGTCACTGGCAAGATGGTGAATGGGTCTGTCTATTGGACGCACGCGGGGAAACCCTACATCACCGTGCTCGACACCGCGACACTGAAGTTCACAAAAATGGATCTACCGCCGCTCTTGGCAGACCAGGAAGGCTGTAAGTGTGCTTTTGTGTTTGGTAATACCAAGGATGGGAGGCCCTGTATCGTTTCCCCAGATTTGTGGGGTGCTTGCTCGCTTGATGTCTTTTTCTGGAGACCCGAGGATGAGTATTATGACGATGGTCGCAATTACTGGTTGTACCAGACATTTCCTTTGAAAACGATTCGCCAGTTCGTTAAGTTCTCGAAAGGAGACGATGGATTTTTCATTGTGCGGCTTATGGATGTTATAGATGGAATCCTGTACCTGCGTACCGAGTATGACGGGTGTACCGAGGCTCCTCAGTTTTTGCTATCCTTTTGCCTCGAAACAGCAGAGCTGAAAATGATATGTGAAGATTATCACAAGCCTGTCCGTCCCTACATCATGGCCTGGCCTCCTTCTTTGGTACAAAATGATGAGGTAAGCGCATGTATATACAGTTTCTTTCCATGAGAGCACTGATTTAGTGAATTGTTGTGGAAATCGGCTATCCACTCTTACTGTACATGATTTCCATTTTGCAAATCTGATTCATTTGAAAATTGAAATTACTCAACCATATAAAGTCTAATACTCTTTGACAGTGCTATATCTGATATGGACAGTTCACAGTTCTATGCTCATAGTGTGCACATATGATATATCATACCCTTATGGCACTGTATGTGGCTTGTTATGTTATTCTTTGCTTTCCCGCAAGAAAATGTTATTCATCGTTACTATTCTCATAAGCATATGTTCTTATACTTGATGTTGGGCTCAACATTCTGTTGGGTGCTTACCGCAGTGTATTTTCCATTGAGGTAACATCGGTGGATCTGTGTAATTTAATTTGAAGTAGAGAGACTGTAGTATTTGTGCTGTTCACAATACTTATATAGTAATCTGTAAATTCTTTAGGGTCCCTGTTCAAAAGATCAAGCTTTGTCTACCGCAAGCTCTGAAGGATGTGATGTGAAGGCTGGAGGTGGCCAAACATTGCCTGCATCTGTTGCGAAAGCATAATAGGTAACGCCATGTACTGAAGGTTATATATAAACTAGTTGAATGCCCGTGCGTTGCTATATGTAATAACACATATATTTTTTGTCTCGATGCTGATAATATAGGTGAATTAATCAAACAGATAATTAAATGACATAAGTAGACGATGGGAGCCACCCTCATAAGTTACATTCTTCCTCGTTTCTCCACTCAAATAGATATCTCAACATAGTTTCACCTATTTTTATGATTGTTCACGATGGATTGTGCAAACAAATTACTGCAGCATGTAGTTGCAATTAACATATAACGCCCCTGTAGACATAATGGGTCAGAGAAGGTCTACAAAATAGGGAATTCCTAATCCAGCAAAAAAAAAACCAAAATTTCATCTACTGTGCAAGAATACTATTTCCCATTTCCGACCAGAAAATTATTGATATTTTAACCTTGTGAGATTTGTCATAATATGAGTTAGACAACACAATTTTAAAGAAGCATCTTTGCGTCGGTTAGCTAGAATAAACCAGTGTCGCTCGAATTTACTCGCTGCTGCTACTTTTCTAATTCTTTCTCACGCCGCTGCCTTTTTCTTCATCTACCCTATCAACTCGCCTAAGTCTCCCTGCCTAACAACCAGCCAGTGCCACCCATGATTGGCGGATGTTGACGTGGGCCGCTTGGCTGCCCCTTGCCCGAGTCACTGCTTTAGCTGGCGTCGTCCATCCCTTCAAACCTATCACCATCTCCGACGCCTTCGACCTTCCGCTTAGCCGCACTCTAATCTGTAAACCAACTATCTTTTTTTTTCGTCCACCCTATTGAAGCGCCCACCTCTCCCTGCCTAACCGCCCGCCACCGCCACCTGCAGTTGACAAGTGCTCACGCACTCCACCTAGCCCTTTGCCTGCTCGAGTCACCATCGCCGGCACCTGCCACCGCCACCCACAGTTGACGAATGTTGACACATGCCACCTCGCCCTTCCCCTATTCAAGTCACCGCCTCCATCACCGTCGTTAGCATGCCATCCCTCTAAACCCTACCATATACAGTGCCACTAACCTCCCGCACCCCTCACTCGAATCCTTTTATCCCGTGCCTCTCATGTGTCACAAGTGACATGGAAGGCGGCAATTTTTTTTTTACCTCTAGCAAGGTCATGATGAATCGTTGTATGCCGCAGCCTACCGTCTCAGGATCAGTGCTAAGTGTGCATTGCACACACAAAAATACTAAAAATGTCCATTCCTGTACGAAAAATACAAATAAATGTTCTCACTGAGATCAAAGCATGTTTCAGACTCATCTTGATAAACATCAGTGTGTCGAAGCCTACTAAGCACCAAACATATCGTGATAAACCATGTTAACAACCGAGGCTTTTATTTAGAGAGCTAAAGATACAAAGTTTACACACAGTAATCTTTACTCAAGAAATCTTGAACTGACTATCGAGGATTTATTTAGCTGCATCCCATGCAGTCAGAAACTACAGATTGCCAAACAGCTTTTGCTTGTACTAATGTTCAACTACAGTATGATAAACCACAACTTTGACTATTGTATGATAAGCGACACTGCAACAGTAACTAACCATCCTCCATCGCCTCATATTTCTCACAACACCATCCAATCCTTGATGCACAAAACCAACCTTCATTGTTCTGCTCAGAGGAGAAGGAGACCGAAAAGGATATCCCAATTTTATTGTAGTAAGAAAACGAAACTAAGTAACAAAAGCAAACCTTCTCCCATTCACTTTAGTTAAATCCAAATGGCCATGTTGTGCTTGGAGGTCAAGCTAGAGAAGATATCAATATGATATTGAACGGACATGATGGAGAAAAGGTCTTCAAACTAAAGATAGCACACAAACAAAGATAAGCATCAGGTTGGCCTTCACACAGAGCATTGTCAGATTGTGTGTTTAATCTACAGATGTCTGCTACAACAATTCGAAGTCATATAGGAAAAAAATACATAAAACCAGATCGAGGGAAAAAAGCGAACACATCTTCAAATTAGAAAAAAAAATATTATCTACAGATAATTTCTAGCATGATACACGGTCAAACCATAAATTAGATCACCAAACTACAATCCATATGCTACGTATTTTAGAACAACCTCTTACTTATATTTATAAGTGCATTAATATTCCAAATTGTGAACCTACTTTAGAGCTCTTGCAACACAGTTCGTAGTTGTAAGTATGTTATGGGCAATATGATTCTCCCGATTCCTTACGTAGCAAAAATCACGTGGTAGAGTCTTGCAGTGTCTTGGGCAAGAAGATTAACTTCCGGACAAGAAAATGATGATAGTATGTGTCAAATTCTTGCTAGTATAAAGAAGAGCAAGGACGTTACCTTGGTGTTTTTTTTTCAGGAATGTTACTTTGGTTTACACAAGCAAGTAATCATACGCGAGCCTCGCTGTATAAGTTAAGCTTGTTTAAATGTATGAACTTCATCATGAAACTATTATCAAGAAGTAATGATCATATTATGTCGATATATCTGTAAAAAAGCAAAGTTAACTACTACAGCATGACAACGGGCCGTTTAAACCTCCTCTGACTGAATTATATTATGAACTTAAATCACTAACGATAGTCAGCATAAAATTGCGCGTCATTGATCATGTTCAGAAAGAGGTTGCCTAAAATAATAGTGCAGATTTTTGGAAGCAAAATAAGTTAGGTTGCCTAAGATAGTAAGACCACTTACATCAAAATGCCCCTGGCAGATGCCTCATAGACCAGTCACCAGTATCATATTAGGGACCAGCCACATTACACATACCTAAGGTAGTAGGTAGATCGAAGTGAGCACACATATTCAGAATGGAAGAATATCTCGAAAATTCAGAACGTAAGAAGATCTCCAAGAATAGATAAGCTGATGTTCAAGTGTCCAGCTTAAGATATGTTTACTTGCCACTGTGCTTTCCTAGCCAATCCAAGCAGATGGGGTGGAACGGGAGTTTGAAGATCGCAACCTGAACGAAATAACTAAGAAAATCAGGTGAATAAACCCAACACATAATACATGATTAAAAACATCAATTACGTACAATGTTTGTGGCAAGTTAAAACCACAATTAGCAAACCTTGATCCCTAATGTGATGATCAGAAGGGAGCGGCAACCAGGCTGTTAAGGAGAAGTTGACACCATCACCCCGGTGGGAAGATGACCGAGAGTGACGAGCCCCGGGCAACACGGGGACTCGACGACAGTGGCCGCTCTATGCGTGTACCTTATCGTGGTGCTGCT